CTTTATGGAAGGTGTCACATGCACTTTACAAAGAGTTTCAAATAGTCAGGTCTCATGTGTACTTAGCTTATTTTGTTCCTCAAGGAGATTTAGGCATGCTTTGTTGTGCATGTGGGATTGAGTTAATCATCAAAAGAACAGTTCTTCACCAGATTGTGCTGTGCTTAAATATGCCTGAAGTGAACAACTCGGAGTCAGACTCCTGAAGTTTGAACCAACGCTGGCTACTGAGTGATATTGCACCAAACTGCCTTCTTGTCTCTAGGGGTTCTTCCTAGACCCCCGCTGCCCACAAAGGTCCCAGAGACTCTCTCAACAGATGCCCAATATGTGAGGCTTGACCCTCAGAGAAGTTAAGACTTTTTTCTTTAAATAGAAGTGGAGGATAGGCGTTTGATCCTCTCACCTGAGGAGTCCCGGCGGTAAAGGAGAGAGAAATAGCATGGATTCTTCTCAGTCCTCTAAGGCAGAGCATTTTATATGATTATTGAGGTGTCTGTTAAAAATCCAAAGGAGCAAAATACCCCAAGCAACAGCTCTGTGGCTTTGTGCAGGTGACTGTAAAATTCAATCCTTGGTTTCCTGACTAAGGAACAAGGGGCACAAAATCCGTGTCAGTTATTTTGTGATCTGGACTGCAGGAATGTATTTCTTGGACCCTCTTTAAGAGGACTGTAATAAAGAGGAGGATCCTCCAGTCACATTTCGGCAAGGGCGAGGCTTGCTGAGGGCCGAGGGGCTCCCACCCTTGCTCCAGCGGTGGCAGTGTCCTAAGGAGCTGCCCTTGAGGCTGTCCCTGGTCCCTCATGCCCAGCTCGAGGCTCCAAGCTCCAACCACGCCCCAGACCCCTTGCCTTTTCCCAAGATGCAAAAAGGGAAAACACTGAGGTAAGAAATAGTGATCCAGAACTTACAAGGATGGCAAACCTTTAGACTCCCAGGGGCAACCCCCAGCCCCAGAATCAAGGGAGAAATTGACCCAGTATGGATTTGCCAGTATGGCTTGACCTTTCATGGGGAAAAATTAAAACAGGCCCATCTTCTAGTTCAGGAACAGTTACAGTTAGGACATATAGAACCTCCAGTCAGTTCTCTGAATTCCCTTCTTTCTGTAATTCACAACAAAAAACAACAAAGAATAATTTTTGACTGTTACATGATCTCAGGGGCATAAATGCTATTATGAAAACAGTGGGGGGCCTCCAGCCAGGGCTTCCACTCCTACTGTGGTTCCTCGAGGACATTAGATTCTCAGAGTTGACTTAAAAGACTGCTTGTTCTATATTCCTTTACAGCCTGATGATAAGGAATATTTTTTTGCATTCTCTGTTTCCATTTCATTCAGTCAACAGCCAAGGACCCAATGTCAGTGGAAATTTTTACCACGAGAGATGAAACATAGCCCCACATGGGGCAACAGTTGTGGGGGGTCTCTGTGACCTTTTCAAGTATCAGAGCGACCAGCCACTGGAGGCAAGAAGGCAGTTTGGGGCAACACCATTCAGTAGCTAGCTTTGGTTCAAACTTTGGGAGTCTGACTCTGAGTTGTTCACTTCAGGCATATTTAAGCACAACAAAGTGAAGAACTGTTCTTTTGATGATTAACTCAATCCTGCATGCACAACAAAGCATGCCTAAATCTCCTTGAGGAACAAAATAAGCTAAGTACACATGAGACCTGACTATTTGAAACTCTTTGTAAAGTGCATGTGACACCTTCCGTAAAGTTGGGTTCTATAGAGCGACTGAGGAAGACAATTCTATGAGAAGGTCTGGGGAAGGTCAGGTATCAGTCTGGCCAAATAGATTGCACAAAGGTCACCAGGCTAGAAAGCATGTCTGTTCCAGCCTTCTGGGTGGAAAACAGGTTTTGTATTCTTTTCCTTGAGGGAACAACCCTGTGTGCTTAACATTCTAGGTTCCCCTAGTGAATGTCTGTAAGCACAAACAGCTTCATGCCCCCTACTCATTTTGGCACTTGAGTGCACACATATGAGCACAGAGGTCAACATCAAGTATCATGTCTTAGAATACCGTCCATGTTGGTTTTTTGAGATAGAATTTCTCTTCATGGTCTGCAGTTTGGCTGGGCTGACAAGCGATCCCAGAGGCCTTCCGGGCTCTGCCTCCTCAGTGCTGGAATTACAAGCACGCATACCACCCTGGACTTTTATGTGTGTTCTGGGAATCAAACTCAGGTCCTCACTCCTGCACAGCACCTTTACTAACTGAACTATTCCCCCTCCCCAGCCTCATTTCTTCTCATTTATCTAACTTATTTTTCTAGCCTTTCCCCATGCCCTGGGCACTGAGCTATGTAGACAAGTGTTGAGCTCCTACTGCCCACACCTTGGGAGCAAGGAGTGGCCACAGAGCTCCTAGATCACTGCCAAGAAAGTTAGGACAGGTCCGTACAGCACAGCTGGCACATTGGTGTAATTGGAGGCTTTTCTCCACCCCACCACATTCTGCAGTCAATTCCCAAATTATCACTGAGAGGCTTATATTAATTATAAAGGTTTGGCTGATGGCTCAGGCTTATTACTAGCTAGCTCTTACATTTAAATTAACCCATATTTCTTATTTATGCTTTGCCACATGGTTTGTGGCTTGTTACCTCATTTTTTACAGGTCTTGCTTCCTTGGTGGCTGGGTGGTGGTTCCCCGACTTCTCCCTTCTTCTCCCTGTATCTCTGTTTGGCGTTCCCACTCAGCCTTATTATGCCTGGCTGTAGGCCAAAACAACTTTGTTATCAACCAATGAGAGAAACACATATTCACAGCATACAGATGGACATCCCACAGCACACCGGCCAACCAGGAACAGCCTCCCAACTGTAAAAACAGGGTCCTCACCTGGCTCCTCCCATCCTTTCAGGTCTGTTGCCAATGCTCTAAAGATGGGGACAACTGTGGAGCCAGAGTACTTTGACCAGGTCACCATCTATTTCAGTGACATCGTGGGCTTCACCACCATCTCAGCCTTGAGCGAGCCCATTGAGGTGGTGGGTTTCCTCAATGACCTCTACACGCTGTTTGATGCTGTTCTGGACAGCCATGACGTGTATAAGGTGAGGACAACCAGAGACTTGCCCTCTCTTCCTCCCTCTGCAGCTGCGCGCCGCAAATTTGTTTCCGTCCACATACCTGTGCATTTGTGTCCATTAACTGTTGCTGTGTAATGAATAATCTCCAAGTCCAGTAGCGTACAATGAAACCATTGGTTACAAGCTTCATTATGAGCTGGAAGACACTCCTGGACTCTCACACGTCTCTGGCTAGCTGCGGGCAAGGTGGGAATCTTTGTACTCTTAGCTTGGTTTTCTGCATCTCTGGAACCTTGACTTGAGGGGTTTGGCTCTGGCCCGTAGTCTCTCTGAGATGGTTCCCCTGCACGGAACACGGCTGGGATCTGAGGGAGGGCAGAAGCATGCTGCCTTCTTGAGCTCTAGCCTGGGATTCGCACGCTGCTTTCCTTGACAAATTCTGTTGGCCAAGGAAGACAGTATGGCAACACTAGATGTGGATGGGAGCTGTTGTAGCCACATTGCAGGGATGTGGATCCAAGGAGAGATGGACAGTGTGTCATTCGAGTTTATTTCTTCACAGTGTTCCCATGTCCATGGTCTGTCTGTTTATCCTTTAACATTTTCATGGGCAGGCCCTTTTGTGCTTGGAACATGGGTATAGAGACAAGCCAGCTCTGGTCCCCACCTTATGGGGATACAGGCACTAGGGGTCTTGGCAGAGGCACCAAGACCTTCTATGACCTGTTTCTGATGTCTCTAGATCCTGGGTTTGGTTCCAGCATGGCCAAATGTGTTGCTTTGGCCAAATATCTTCCCCTCTCTGGGTCTGTTTCCTCATCTGTGGATCAGACAACCTCCATCCTGGCCGTTCACGGAGGGCATAGAAGCGTGTGTCAGCTGCAATGGGAGAGCAAGTCGCTCACTGATTCCTCCGCAGCTCTGCTGTGCTGTAGAGACCCTCCTGCAACCCAGCCTCCCACACCCCTGCCTCCTGCAACCCTGCCTCCCACACCCCTGCCTCCCACACCCCTGCCTCC